TAAGACTGTTGGCTCTACTGATGAATTATTCCTACTGCGGGGGAGAAAAAAATCAAATTCCAGTTTGAATTTTTCTGGTTTCATTTTCCAGCCTCCGGGTCTTGGTCTGAGTGCTCTGCTCTCAGAAGTCTTTTCTGTGGCCATCAGTTTGCAGGTGGTGACTGGCACTTCAACTTTTCTTTGATAAATTAAATAGCTTGGATCCTTTCAGTCTCTCACTGCAACGCAGGCTTTCTGGATATCACATGATCTTATAGGTGTTCTCTGAACCCTTTCCAGTTTTTCAACATCTCCTCTTCTAGGAGTGTGGACACTAGAACTGGACCCAGTATTCCAGTGTTGGTTTTGCTGATGCTGTATGCAGATATTGTATTATCTTTCTACATCCAAGGATCACTATTAACTTGTATACATTGCCTATTGGATCAGAACTGGATCCAGCTAGTCTTGTATTCTGTCTCCAGTGAGTCCCAAAACTTGATGGTGCAGAGAAACTTGCAGTGTGAACAATACTTTCATATAGCAGTTTTAAGATTCCCACCTTTCATGTTCAATAACTCCTTCTGAGAGAGAGAGAGAGTAGAGACTCTTGATCTACCTGCTCCAGATGCTGATTATTTTATGTACATTTCTCATGTCCTCCCTTACTTGCCTCTGTCCAGTTTTTCTTATGAAAGAATGCTCTGCTCATCCCATTGTACTTCTCTGAACCTTCATCAGTTTTGCAGTATATTTTTTAAGGTAGGATGACCACTACTCCACACATCCAGCAGAGGCCCTATCATGGACTTACACAAAGGACTTTTCACGTTTCCTGTTTTATTTCAATTTCATTCTTTATGCATCCTCATATCTGACTTTCTTTTTGAACTACAGCTGCACTTAAGCTAGAGGTTTTCATGGAGCTGTCTATACCAGTAGCTTTCAACCTGTGGTCCATGGACCCCTGGGGGCCTTCAGACTATGTCTAAGGAGTCCACGAAAGATGATTATAATAAATCGAGGGGTATGTGAATACTCACACATACAATTCAAAGGGGTCCACACCTCTGTTCAAAACTTTTTAGGTGCCTGCAAATGAAAAAAGATTGAAAACCATCGGTCTACACAAACACCCTAAATAAAGGGATGCTTAATTTTTTTCCTTTATGCCAAAGATACGCCTGGAAAAATGCATTCATCACTGTAGCACAACTAGTCAAAGCAATAACCTGCTTAGCTTTACTGGGGTGCTTAAACCATACAGCACACGAGTTGTACTGGCAAGAGCTTGCCTTGCATTAGGCTAGGGTGCAGCTGATGGCAGTTGCTTTTCATATGTAATTCTGAAGATCTGAGGAGAGAGTGGCATTGCCTAAACCTGGAACTGTGCAGACTGAAAGAGGTCAATTTCCTGCTGCTGTTAGAGTCAGGGCAGATACTGGTCACGTTGTAAAGCCTTGAGGGCTGTGCTATGCCTAGTGTTGGTTTGAACATGTGTCAGTGCAAAGGGTGGCCTCAGAGGTGAAGATGGGAAATCTATTCCCACATGACTGGCAATGCTGCCTCAGCTTCCAGAATTTACTTAAAACATGACCTAATAAGCTGATGCCCCATGTACTTCTGCTTAATGTGGAGCAGGTGTTGTAAAGGGGTGCAACTTCCTTTTTTATTTAAAAAGAAGCCCATCTTTCAGATGCTAACTCTGTTCTGGCTGTCATCCCTTTATTTCCTCATGCTGTTGTAGGCTGTGTTTGTGGGTGAGGCAAGTGAAGCACGTATGATCTATAGGAGTATGTGACTCTGTCTCACCAGCCCTCAAGCGCTCCAAATGTTGCAGCATTAGTTGTTGATATAGACTCCTGTTGTCCCCATAGAATAATATTCTAAAACAAGGCAGTAGAAGACTCTCAAAGCTGTTGTATGGTTAAGTCTGCATGTTGGGAGAGAATAAACTCATCCAGGATTTCTGGCTGGTTAAAAATGTTCCCTACCCTCTCTAGCTTTTGAGGTTGAGCAAAGACATGGAATCAGTGACCTTTAAAGAAAAGCAAAAACTGCTGAGAAACGTTTATGGGTGGACAGAGGTTCTTTGCCTGCACATTCACAGCTGAGTGGTTAAAACATATGGGTTCTCCATAGCCCCTCTGGCTGCAGCTCATTCTACCTCCATGCAGCTTGTAGAGAGGACTGTTTACATCCATAAAATAATTGACTCAGTTTGGTTTTATAATAGTTAACTTTTTTTAATATATAATAAACTTTGGACAGTCATGCACCTCATGGTTTGCTTCTTCACTATGACTGTGGCTGGTTTAGGGGGTTTCTGGTGTAATGACTTGACCTCTGGGCTTGAGCTCCTAAAACTCAAACTACTAAGTGTCTTGCATTTCCCTGAACTGTGCTGCCATTGCACTTCAGAGCTTGAGAAATTGTATGATGCTAAGTGATCATAAAAATGCAGCCACAGTTTGTAAATACATTAGAAACACTCATGGGGCTAAATACAAAATGATGTATTTAGGGGATCCATTTTAACGATCGGATAATTGTCAGCTTGAATTTTGGCCCTGTTTATGGGACTTTCATTTAGTTCCTATCCTATTGCCCCTTGGCTGCCTTGGTTCTACATGTTCTTTGGCTGTGTTAACATTTTTAAAGCCAGTAACACAATGAACTGACATTTGAAGTTAAAGGTGAATAAAATGAGCAGGCTTGTTTTAAAAATGTTAACAGGTGAGAATCTGAGGTGACTGCCCTAATGGCCCTCAGAGTAGCCCATCCATTATGAAAGTTTATTAGAAATGTCTGCAAATGCAAGCCAACAAATAGACATTTGCACTTGCTGATGTTAACACATTTATTACATACAGAACAGATATGGTTCATTTGTTTGATAGCATAGGGGACAAAGCATGGGAAAGTATTCATACAGCAGTCTCTTTACAGAATGCCATCTTCAGACCGAACAGCGGAGTTTACAGGCCTTAAGACACTTTTTTTTTTTTAAATCCTTTTATAACATACAAGGTACTTTACATACATCACAGTGGAGATATGATGGGGAAGTGTAAGCCAATCAGCTCTCACCTTGCTGCCCAGTAGCCACCGAAGGATGACAGGAACACAGCAGCAGTGGCCATAGCTGCCCCCCCTTTTAAATGTGTGCTTCTCTTCAAGGAAAACATGCTTCAAGCTGCAAGGGAACTGAACCTGCTGAGATGATTTGAGACCTCTTCTCTCCATTTGCCTTGGAGCAATCAGTAGGAGATAGAGGAGCAAGTACTGTCACTGATAAAAACAGATACAGAATGTTTCATAGTTTTCATATGGAGCATTCAATTTAAATAAGCAACTGATGTCAATTCCATTTTATGCTGTCAGCCCAAATTAACTGGTGGTAGTACATGTTGTATGGAACTTGCTATTTTTTTTCCTTCCTCCCTCCCTACCTCATACTCTGTTGCTACTCACAGTGACTTCTCCTGTCAGACAGCATTTCTGGAACATGGCCATGGCATAACAGAAGCCTGGCTCATTCAGAAAAGCCTCTCAGTCACATGTGTCGCACTGGGGACCCCTTCCCATGGAGGTGTTCTGCTGCCCACACCTACTAAAAGGATGCTGTAGAAACAAACAGCAAAGCTGGTACATGACTGCAAGACATGATTCAGAACTCATCCCTACCTCAATCTGCAGCATAGTATGCTCCCTCAGTAATCCAACACTGCTCACAGGCAATTTGTGGCACCACCAAATTTCTCTCACTGCTAAGTAGGATGCTGAAGCCCCTGTTCTCCGGTATGTCACTGCTGCTTCAAATGGTCTGATGTGCACTCTCTCTCCCAGCCTTCTCTGTACTATCCTTGTTTGCAAAGCTCTGGGCGAAGGTATTGCTGCTAAACAAAGGATGCATCCAGCTACAGCTCCATGTGTACCATGTTCCAGCAACACAGAAGTTACTATAGCATACAAGACAATTGGTCCATCCACTCCAGTATCTTCTCTCCAACTGGGCATGCAGCTAGATGCATCAGAGAAAGGCAAAAATTTCCCTAGGATGTATCTATACAATATGGGCCATGTTGTAGGAAATGAGGGAAACTTCCTTGAAAGCTTCAATTTAGCCTCACCTAACAGGCAAACAAAGAAGCAATGGGGCATGTTAGAAAGGGACACCAACACCTTCCAAGCACAAATGCTGTGCTCCTGTATGGCAAATTTCAAACAGCCTGCCTGGACAGGTTATTTCTTGCTTCTTCTTAGGCAGGAAGTTAGGTACATGATGGACAAAGCACAAGGAAGTCACTCCTCACCTCTTCATTCTGGAGTGAACACTGCATCCTCCTCCTATATGCAGGGCAAACCAGTGTTTGCAATTCCATGGAAGGACAGTGAAAGCCTCTCCTGGGGACCATCATGCATTCCAGTAGTGAAACAATTTGATCTTTTCTGCACACCCAGAACTGCAAACAGTCCATTGCTTGGGGCACCAGCAAGGGGAGTCAGAACAGCTGCATTCGTTCCCTGCTGTCACAGGCTGCCTGAGTGACTTTGGGTAAAACATGGTTCCCCATCTGTAACATCCTTTCCTCCCAGTCACGGTGAGGGATACACTTATTTCTCCCTGCAGAAAGTCAGCAATGCCCAAAACGGGATGTTGTCTTCACAAGTCATTCAATAAAACCTCACTGTGTTAACACACATCATAGCACAGCAACACAGAGGACTGCTTAACTTGCCTTCACCTACACTTTACAAATTAACACCCATTGAACAACATCAGCTTGTCTCTCTGCATGTTTGGGGCTTGTAAAAATAAGGAAACCTAAATGTCTTTAAACTTTCCCTTCCAAAACTTATATATGGAAAAAGTATTTCAGGCTTTTCCTTCAGCTAACCAATGAGATTTCAGCACGTATTCACTGCTACAGCATTCCAGAATGCTAGAGGCCTTTGATATCAGACACCTTCCTTCTATCTCCCTACCAAGCAAACAGTCCTTCCCAGTCTCACATTGCCCAGCACAGACTCCATGTTACCTAGTGACCAAACAATAGCAGTAGAGGAAGGAGGGAGACTCCATCTTTCCATGTGCAGAAAGTATTCTTCACTGTACCCCTTCTTCATAGGACTGTTGCCCTATCACCAAACAATAGAAACTTTTTGTGGTCCCATCTCTGCACATGGGCTACCCTTAGATCTGGGGTAATATTCTGTGCCTGGGTACAATCTACACAGAGGGGAGGGGATAGGAATTCTATGTGGTGAACAGGAAAAGATTTCTTTGGAGCTGTTGGCAAGCGGCAATTCATCAGCTTCACTTCAGTGGGGCACATTGGAGAGATGCACTGCTTCTCATGCAGGTGGGAGTGAAGCAGCCTTCCTGGTAACATGGGCCAGCCCTTCCAAATCAGAGGTGCTTGCACAGGTTTTGACTGCCAGCTTCACTCTGAAGATTTTCTTCCATTTTTTCCCTTGGAGACACCAGCATTGGAAGGAGAACAACTACCTGAGCACTCAAAGAGCATATGGGCCCAAGATGAAAGCTGCACGTTCAGAGGTTAGAATGGGTTGCAGTCCGATGCAGGAGCTGCTGCAGGTGTCTGGGGTTCCGATTCCAGCAGTAGATATAATGCAGGAGTTCTGTATGTACATCTTGGCATTCAGCGGGAGGAGGGAGAGTTACATTGGCAGGAAAGGAGAGACTCTCACTCAGGGATGTAGGAGACTTGCCACACGATAATGTGGCTTCTCTCAGCCTTGGAAAGCATTGGCTTCACTTGGGTGGCATCTCCAGTGTTGTCCTCTGTTTCATCATCTTCTCCATCCCCTGACAAGAAAACACAAATGGTGAGAAGGGGGGACCAGGGAGAGCCCACACATTGCTACCCTTAGGAATTTTCACAAAAGGCTTGTCATTCAGCTGTGATCTTTGCTACCTGACCACAAGCAGTATTGACTGATATCTGCCAAGTCTGGAGGGCAGTTGTGAGGACTGGAAGCATTTCAAAGTCCATGTACAATGGAAAGACAACTCCTCTACTCCTTCATAAAAATGTAAAACCATGATTCTTTGGCATCCCCAATTTCATGGATTGGCCAAGTGTCCCCACCAACATGGACGAGCCCATAAGTCTAACCAAGGGCCTCCTCCAGAGTGTTGCACCTGAAAATGCTGTGATTGCAGCATTCAGCCATCAGTGTGGAAAATCATAGTGCAGGGATGGCCAACCTGCAAGATGAGTGTCACAAGTGACACAAGCAGCCTGTGTGTGTGGCAGGTGGCAAATCAGGGAGGGGACAGGCAGCACAGCAGGTGATAGGGCAGGAAGCAGAAGACAGAGCAGGAGATCAGGAGGCAGAAGGGGATTGGACTGGCACTCAAGGAGGGTGTGGGGCTACATTGTGGCATGCCTGCCAAGAAGGTTGGCTCCCACTGCTCTAATGAATATCATCAGGGCTCTGTACAGACTGTCTTGTGGGGCAAAGACAAAGCTGTCTGGGGTCTGTTTGTTCTACTGGTATGTGGGAGTGAGGTACACAGATCTTGGTCTATACAGATCATCAGGAACAAGTGGAAATAATTTCCTGAATTCACTCCTCAGCAGCAGTTTCATCCCTTGAGTCTCACTGGTCCCCACACATTATGCCTGGCCCTTCCCACAAGGCAAACAACAGGTGCTCACCAATCCGGAAATCGATGTACCCCTCTCCTCCACTCAGCACCAAGACATTCTTCAGCTTCTGCCCCTCAGTCTCGGTGGCTGTTGTACTGGGGTTCTCAGAGGGGCTGTCCAACACACTTCCATTCAGGGTTGCAAGAACATTGCCTGAAAAAACATGGGGGCCCCTTTCAGCACCTCTGCCACAGTCCCTGAGCACTCAGCTCAAGGTCACAAATGTGGTCAAGGCCCTGCCAGTCCAATCACTTTGGTGAGTGAAATCTGGTTTTTATTCCAGTTTGTGCATAAGAACAAGGAACTGTAGGAGTCACTGGTTCAGCTGCAGGAGGTGCGAATGGCACCCACAACATCCTACAGCAGGTCAACTCCGGCCTCCCCCACCATGAAAATTACAATTGATGCCAGACCCATCCTGAGAAAGTGCTGTGCTTCCCCTTACCAGGCACAGAGACAAAGAACTTGACAGCATCCCGGTGGCCGTGGAAGCAGAGCTGCGCCTGAGCCATGGAACAGTAGGGGATGAAGCTGCTGGCAGATTTGTCGCTGCTGTCATCCCCATACACATGAATGACTCCACCAGAGCGATTCCCCTCTCCTGATGTTGGGGACGTCTTATTGGCTGAGAACAGGAGAAGAATAACCCCAAGTAGTAGATTTGTGCCCATTTATACAGCAGCCCCAGTCAAAGAGAAAAGTCATGAGTACCACTGGAGAACCTTTAGAGGCCCCGTTTAGTGTCCTGAGCATGATGGAAGAGACCATACTAGATTATACATGCCATCTCCCTGTCAACATGGTGGGGACACAGTTACATCCCTTCATGTGAGTAAGCTGTGCCTCTAATCAAAGGAATGTCTGACTAATAGGGATGTCTTTGGAAAAGTCCCACCCCTACAAAGGAATACGTTAAGGGCACTGTGATAAAGGCCTCCTCCCCCTGCTACGGCAGCCATGTTTCAGAACTCTGAAGAGTTGAGAAAGAACTTACTGTTCTGTAGCCAGTCATAGGCCTTGGTACTTAGGTGGGTAACGTGAGGAGTTCACTGCCCTAATGAAACAATATGGCCGCTTGGCCTACAAGGCCCTTGGAGAGTTGTGGCTGCTTTCTGGACTGATGAAATTGCTGAGTTTGAAAGGCAAGCCCCCTGCTAACACTGATCTGCCAGAGTACAGGGTGGCAACATAGTCCCTGCAAAGCCATAGCCCAACAGGACAGAGGTGGAGTCAAAGGGAACCAGGTTTCTTTTCTAATCTTGGAGAAAAGGTAGCTGCCAGCCTCAGTCACAATACCCTGAGACTGACTATCTGGACACTGAAGCCCTCCTGAGGGAGGCTGAACACCCTTAAAGCCCATAGAAGCTCACGCTGCTCAGCATCTTGCAAGAAATAAACTCCATTTACCAGCCTAGGACTCAGTGCTCAAGATGGGAGACTTCCCTGCATGTGTATCCCAGGCGCGCGCGCACACACACACACACACACTGGGGAATGTAGAACTTTCGGTCCCTTGCACAAACAAACTCCAGTGTGGTGCTCACTCTAGCAGGGACTTATGTTTGGTGTCATTATATGCACTATTATATCTATTATCTCAGTTATTAAATGAGAAATAAGAAATAACTCTAAAATCAAAGGAGACCTGTTTCTCAAGCCAGGATTTTGGGATCACGGGCAAAATAGCTGCATGGAAGAATAAGAATTGATCAGAAAAAAGACCACAGCTTTCTGCACCAATGTACTTTGACTTGCTATAAGCAGCTGCAACTGGACGGTGTCACTTTACAGTAACACTGGACTCGTTGCATCAAACAATGAGTCCAGTTAGCCTTGTGTTCAGCCTCTATCAGTGGCTAGTATCTAATGCTCCTAAAGAAGGAAAATACACTCAGAATGGTCCTGGCCAAACTTTAGGACAGGGTTGCTTATTAAGCCTTGCAGATGGATAATAAAGCCTGATCCAGGAATTGGGATTCCCATGGTATCGCCCCCTTCCCTTGCATAAGTGCAAATGATTTTTAATGCTCATAAACTGTCCAGTCCTTTTCAAGGTCCTGCATTACTACTCTTGGCTCTGAGGTGCCACAGCACTGGTACCATAATTGTTCTGGAAAGTGATGGAGCTTGGGGAATCCCTGGAAGATCAGATAGACAGTCTGTTCTGGTCTGGCCAAACAGATCTCTACTACTAGGATTACAAGGAGCACACTTTTGGTCATCACCTTCCCTGACCTCAGCTATCAAAATAAAGGAGCTAGGTGGAAAAAAAGTACTCAATTACACAGTAAAACAAATGGGAGGGCTACTGAGAAAGAGTTGAATGCCCCTAGCTCCAAGGGAATGAAGATATTTACATTATCATCTTTGGGCTCTTCTCAGTGACTGCTAGTTAATGTGCGAGAAATGAATGGGTAAGTGAAGGGAAAGAAGTTAATAAACGGATGAAGGGTTAGGAAAGTGACTGGGAGGGACAGCTGGTGCACAAGGAATGACATTTGAAATCCACAAGGAAGGAGGTACTGGACTTACCCCGGAGCCCAAGGAGTTGGCCTCGGTGGAGGACTACAGCTAGGCCACGCAAGGAGTGGGGAACAGAAGGGAACAGGGAGAGAAAGACAAGTGGGGAGAGAAGAAAAAGGCAGTTATTAGGAGAAATTTCTGGGAGCCATAGAAATACACACATTGAGAGAGTGCCAAAAAGAGCG